TGTTCATCGCAGCACTGTTTATAATAGCCAGGACATGGAAGCAACCTAGATGCCCATCAGCAGACGAATGGATAAGGAAGCTGTAGTACATATATAGCATGGAATATTACTCAGCCATTAAAAAGAATTCATTTGAATCAGTTCTAATGATATGGATGAAACTGGAGCCCATTATACAGAGCGAAGTAAGCCAGAAAGAAAAATACCAATACAGCATACTAACACATATATATGGAATTTAGAAAGAGGGTAATGATAACCCTATATGCAAGACAGAAAAAGAGACACAGATGTACAGAACAGACTTTTGGACTCTGTGGGAGAAGGCGAGGGTGGGATGTTTTGAGAGAACAGCATGTATATTATCTATAGTGAAACAGATCACCAGCCCAGGTGGGATGCATGAGACAAGTGCTCAGCCCTGGTGCACTGGGAAGACCCAGAGGAATCGGGTGGAGAGGGAGGTGGGAGGGGAGATCGGGATGGGGAATACATGTAACTCCATGGCTGATTCATGTCAATGTGTGACAAAACCCTCTGCGATGTTGTGAAGTAATTAGCCTCCAACTAATAAAAATAAATGAAAAAAAATTTAAAAATAAACAAACATGTTCAGAGGAAGAAAAAATAAAATAAAATGCTTAGAAAAAAATTTTTTAAAGTATTTTGACTTGAATTGAGCTAAAATATACCTTTCATTGGTTTTCTAGGAAATGATGTAAACAAAATTATATATTTCCTTGAAGTATTGAGAAATTAATTTTGTGACGACTTTAGCAATTGTTTTAACAGAATAGATGCCTTATATAATGGATAACAGTTGGCACAAACAATAGATAACCTTAAAACTTAAAAGGAAAAACTGGAAAATGAACAGTCCATCGGGACTTTGAAAAGCTAAGTGCGTATTTCTTGTAATCTTGAAGACCAGGCACAGATGTAGAACTGTGCACATACTCAGGAAGGACCTGGGAAAGCCATAAGCTATCATACACTCCTGGCTGATTTGTAGTTCTGTATAAGCAGGAAGTGTAAGCTAATGCAGAGTTTTTCAAAGTGTTTAGATAATAGTTGACGGTGTGCCCAACGTGCTTGCAGAGCCCTTTTGCAAAGACTCAGAGATGTTTAGATGTAGGCAATTAAGCTGCCTTCTAAGCTAACTGAGCACAGACTTCATTGGCCACGTATGACAGAGTACAGAGCTTACTGAATTAATTCAGGAAACTCACTGAACAAGTAAACAACTACAAAATCAGCAATAGCTACAACAACAACAACAAAAAAAAAACCCTGGAGAGAGTAAACAACATAATTCCCAGGACTATCAAATTATATTATTTAAAATACCTAGTATGTAATGAAAAATTATAAGACATGAAAAAAATTCTATAGCCATAACACAGGTAAAACACCAAGCAATAGAAATTGTCCATGAGAAGCCCAGACATTGGCAATACTAGAGACAAACATTTAATCAGTTATTTTAACTATGTTCAAAGAACTAATGGAAACAATTTCTTAAAAAACTAAGGAAAATTGGGAAAATAGTGTCTCATTAAATAGATAGTATAAAGAGATGGCAATTATAGAAATGAACCAAATGGAAACACTAAAGTTTAATAGTACAATAAGTGAAATAAAATTTTTGCTAGAGAGTTTCAATAGCATATTAGGATAAAAGAGTAAATGCACATAATAGATATATTGAAATTGTCAAGTCGAGGAATAGTAAGAAAAAAGAATGAAGAAAACTGAACAAAACCTCAGAGATCTGTGGGATATGATGAAGTATACCAACATACTTATACTGTGAGCCCTAGAAGGAAAGGAAAGAGATAAAAAGGAGGCAGAATGAATATTTGAAGAAATATAACTGAAAAATTCCTGAATTTGATGAAGAGTATTGCTGATAAAAGAGGCTCAATGAAATTAAAGTAGGACAAACTAAGAGATCCACATTGAGACACATAATAATCAAACTGTCAAAAGACAAGGAATTTTGAAAGCAGAATGAGAGAAATTACTAAGTAAACACAAGAGCTCCTCAATAAGATAAGCAGCTAATTTCTCATCAGAAACCATGGAAGAAAGAAGGCAGTGGGATGACACATTCAAATTGCTGAAGGAAAATTTTTAAAGGTCAACAAAGTGTTCTATGTCTGGCAAAACTACCTTCAAAATGAAGGGGAAATGAAGACACTCAAAGACAAAAATCGTGAGCATTCATCTCTAGCAGAACTGTTTCTCCAAGAACATGAAATGGAGTTTTGCATTATAATGGAGTTTTGAAAATAAAGGACACAAGATTTTAAGTTAAATCAACATGAAGAAATAAAGGGTGCTCAAAACTACATAGAAAGCTATAAAAGACAGTGCAAATGTATCTTTGCATGTAACTCCACTTTTTCATATCTGATTTAAAAGACAACTTCATAAAGCAAAATTTATAAATCTATGTAGAACACACTATATAAAGATGTAGTTTGTGACAACACTATGGATAAAAGAGGGGTGGATGAAGCAATGTAGGAGCAGTTTTTGATAATTCCATTGGTTTTAATCTTTTTTTTTTTTTTTCAATTTGTTGCTCTGGATCTTCACTGCAGTGTTTTCTTTTTTTGTGAAGCACAGGCTCTAAGATGCATGGGCTTCATTAGTTGTGGCACATGGGTTTAGTTGCTTCACAGTGTGTGGAATCTTCCTGAACTGGGGATCGAACCCATGTCCCCTGCATTGGCAGGTGGATTCTTAACCACTGAACCACCAGGAAAGCCTTCCATTGGTTTTAATCTAAACTATTTTCTTACAAATTAAGAGGTTAATTATACTGCCTAGAATCACCACAAATATACTCTAAAATATATATAGTGGGAAAAGAAGACAAGGAATAAAAATAATACACTAGAAAATATTTAGCATGAAACAATGCAGTAATTGAGAAATAATGAAATAAAAGAGCACAAGACACAGAAAAAATAGCTAAGTGGCAGACACAATTCTATCTTAACAGTTATTAAATGTAGATGAATTAAACTCTCCAATCAAATGGTAGAGATTAGCAGAATGGATAAAAATCAAACTCCAATTGCATGCTGTCTTCCAGAGACTCATTTTAGATTCAAAGATAAATATGTTGAAAGTAAAAGTATGGGAAAGATATATCACTCAAACAGTAACCAAAAGATTGCTGGGGTGGCTAGACTAGTAACAGACAAAATAGACATGAAAACAAATATTATTTAGAGAGACAAAGACAAAGTAGGACATTTTATAAGAACAAAATGATTAATCCAAAAAGAAGATACAACAGTTACAAATAAATATGTATCTAACAACAGAAATCCAAAAATGTTTGAAGCATATACAAGCAGAATTGAAGGGGAAGATAGACAATTCAACAGTAATAGTTGGAGATTTTAATACACCATTATCAATTATGGTTAGAATAAC